TGTTAAGTTTTGGCGAGATGTGTAGTGAAATCCACAGTAGTTGTTAACACTCGCAGTTAGAGTATTATTATAGAAAAGCTCCAAAAAAATAGTTGTGGTGTCATCAGTGATGCATACCATAGAATAGCTTGACATAAGGCTTTAGAAACAGGCAAAAGGAGATTAAGAGAATTAGTACCCGGATTTAATAATGGTAGTCAACAACAATAACCATTTAAAGTAGTTAACTCCTAAGACAACAGGTTAAGTGTGCTGCCAAACACATTGGCATTGAGTTATATGTTGTAAAGAAGAAAATCCTGAATCATTTTAAAAGCATTGAGCATATAAGTACCAAGCAAGTACTTACGGATCCGTTTATCAAAGGGTAACCACCTAGTGCGTTTAGAGAACACACATTCGACATGGGTTTACGGAAAAGCCTATGATTTCTGGATACTAAGGGCCTAATTGAGAATCTGTTTTAAAACAGAGAGGTGCACTATAGCTGTTTAATCTAGTGGTAATGACCGTGGCGATGAGGCACGCTCTATGCACTGATCTGTGATGGAATGGGAAAACGATAAAGTAAGTTGAGTTTAAGTCATAAGGTGAGATCAAGGGGCAGAATGTTAGAATGATCTCAATTGGACCCTTGATCCGCGCCCTGATCGGGGGCGCTCAGCCGGTTCTTCAGGCTGATGGGCCCCCGTCGTGCAGCGCCATAAAAGGACGGTGGGGGCTAGACACAAGACACGAGGTTCACCGCAGCCGCCAGCCCCTCATGGATGTCTTATCCCTAGACCGATCGAGAGGGGGCGCTGTGAGCGACGGGAAGCTCCACGGGCCTTCACCGCCGTCACTGGACCGCGCCACCACTATGATGCTACCTCTATTTCAATACTATAGGCGCGTCCCGCCGCGCCATGGCGAGGTATATTGTTGAATTTACCCACTAGATCAACACCTAGTAATCCCAGAAATTCTATCAGAGATTTTTCAAGTCCCTAATTCTTAGAAGCATGAATTAGTAGTTATTGGAGAAAGTTTTTTCTTGTCTTTTTAAAAACCAAGAATTAAGGAAGGGATTTAGGAAACTCCTGACATGCTCACCGACGAGAGAGATCCTGACGCAATAAATGAACGCGGGTACAGGCGGCAGAGCACGCATGATGCGTGGTGGTGACCTCGATCGGAGCCGGCCTGACATCCGTACGTCTGGAACGGCACGACTAGCTATGTAACACGTGCCGCACGCCTCGTGCTACGTACTTAACTACTTACGAGCCAGCCAGGCCCGTATATTGACAGGAACAAGTGGGGCAACAGTTCAGGGCCTCCAAATTTACACTAAGTAGTAGCAATACTTAATACTTGAATAAAAAGATAACACGCGGCCAGACCTGCAATCACTGGTTTGTTAATTGGCCAGTATTGGCCCAATGTAAGGCCTATTGTTGTATCTTGGATAGCAGATTAGTCGATTAGATAATCTGAAAATTCGCATTATAATCATGGAATTGGAGAAGGGATTTGTTTATTTCATTGATCTTCATCATGTCTTTTTGAAATAGGAGGCATGATTCTGGCCATGAAAAGCGTAACAAGAAACAAAGATTAGAAGCTGCAGCTCAAATTGAAAGGGGTGCTCTTGATACATAAGTTGTGAAAGAATCTTAGTTTACTTATGGAATTTCAAGGCCACATCACACATTTTGTTAAGGGTCCTCCAAATTGTAGGTACGGCCCTGGAGCCTGCTCTCGGCCTCGCTCGGATCGTTCCGTCTTCCGTGGCGTGTGCATGGCCAGTGCAAGCTTCGACGGCATCTGCACAGTCTTTACTATATACGGGCCGGTTTGGTTTGCCTGCTGGCTTCAGGTAAATCTGCTTGAATTGTCTAGAAAAGGCACGAACCAAACAGCTCCGTACGTGTGTGTATCTTTGCGAGTTGATACCCGTCCATCGATCTCCCTAGACTTGTCCATCCACAGATGGGCAGATATATAGCTACGACTTCCTAACAAAAATAGGCAGATATGCGTTACGTACGTATACGATGATATCCGTCCATCGAAGCAAACTCTGTGGGAGATATATAGGAGTTGAACCGAAGGAGACATTTCCTCTCTTTTTTTTTCTCTCTAGCAGGCAGCAGAGGGGGCTCACGTGATTTGCGCCGGCAAACTCTCAAGTCTGAAGCAAACCCATGCAAACCTCCAGCCCTTTTCATTTCAGATCCTGTTGGTAGATGCTGAAAACGACAGATCGATGCTTTGCTTGCCGGCCGCTTGCGTTCGTTGCTGTACGTACAACGTACAACGTACTGGCATGGAGATTACTCGTACATTACAATCACAGTACGTGGTACGTACAATGTCGCAGAAAGATCGAGATGGTGTCGTAGGCTACTAACCGCTAGTCGTTGCAGGCAGGTTCGGCGCCGGAAACTGTGCGGCTGCCTGCCGGGTGGAGTACACGCACGTCGTTGACAGATCGATGGAGCCAAGACTAGCTAGACTAGGCCACTTGGCACAGCAGCAGCTAGCTCCGTTTCTTGTCAAGATTAACGCCTCGCTAAAACATGTCTGTTAATAGAAGGCGGTTTGTCAAATGCCTTAATTTCTTATTGCATAAAGGCATTTCTCTGAAAATGCCTCTAAAAGCATTTTTAAAGGCTAAACTAAAAAACGCCTTAAATAGCTGCAATACTTAGAGGCGTTTTTATTAAAAAGGCCTTAATTACCTGTAACATTTTGAGGCGTTTTATGAGAACGCCTTCCTCGTGCTATATGCGTAACACAGCCAGTCCTGTTTGGAGCACTCCCCGTCGTTATCCTCGAGCACCTTCTCAAGCGTTACTTTTATTTAAAAATAAATAAATAAGAAACACAACTTCCCCTGTTGCGATAGGGTGAATTTTTTTAAATAATATTTTTAATGAATAATTGTAAATCTAGTAGCTGTTATATGTACAAAAATTATAGATATAGCATCCTGTCGGCCACTGGACTGCCGATAGGCACCCATGCCGGCACCTTAGCAGCCGATACGGTTGACGTGGCAGCCGACGCCGGCCTGTCGGTCCTGATAGCAGACTTGTCGGTTGCTGGGTGGCCGACAAGCCTGTCAGCTACCCAACAACCAATTACACTATTTCATGCGAAAACTACGTCTTTTATCCCTGAAAAGGGTACAGACCTGCAAAGGCAACGTCGGGCCTATTCGGCTGGTATTAAAGCCGGCTGAAGCTGTTTTGTTGTGAGAGAAAAATATTGTAGATTCTAGCTGATAAGTTCAAGCAAACAACCCGTCGTTTGTCCGCTGAATTGTCCTTTGCCTCGATGCAGGCGTCAGAAGTTATTGGAGCCTTGCCTCCATTAAATGGTTGTAAAGCGACTAATACGGTTCTAGGCATCAGAAATCCAAGAGTACATTAGTTTACATCCATGCAACCATACAACCATACGACTAATACAGGTCAACCAACACGACGGACATGTTTGACAGCCTGTGCTCATTGGTGACGAATCTACACCGTAGGGTAAGTGAGTTGGTCTGGAGGACAGCGCTGGCGTGCCGGCAGGGTCGACTCTATAGGCTGAGTACCCTCCTGAGTCGGCTGAGGTGCGCCAAGGAGGAGTGTCATCCATCTCCATCCATTCTCCCGCTTTTTAGGCACCAACATACTAATCCTGAAACGATGCTGGGAGGGCGGAACACACAAGTATTCATGCAGCCAGGCTAAAACTTGTTTCCAACTATAATCTAGAGACGAATTCGTTAAGGTTACCCCGTGTCAAAGACCGAACTACGTAAATTTTAAGGTCTAAACCTCGACACGTCATCATGCAAAGTAGATGAAGTACCATTTCGAACTTACTCTTACCACGGTAAATTTTGAAAGCAAACTACTAACTAAACTAGTCGTAATAATCCAAAAGTCAACATTCCCCGGTCACATCATACAAAGTATCGTGTCAGTTAAATGAAGTACCATCCTCAAACTTACTCTAACTAAGCAAAATAAACTAAAACAAAACTAACTCTAACAGCAAACTACTAACTAAACTAGCCGTAACCCAAAAGTAACACGAAAAACGGCATATCTGATCCCTAAGTGAAACTAAACTTGCTAACTAAAAATAACGTTGGCACAACTAACCCTAACCCTAAGTAAATCGAACACTAATGTAGGGCTACAAACTAAATATACTAATTAATCTAACCCTAACCATATCTAACTAAACAAAATAAACTAACAAAATCTAAATAAACTAACTACAAATCTGAAATTTATTTTTTTTTTAAAAGAAACTTACCTGCACAGCGCTGGCCGAGCAGGCGCTGCGTGCCTGAGGAAAAATTGAACTAGGGTTCCTAGAACACACAAACTATATATATGATTGTTTGATTTGGGCGAGCTTCTTTGGCACGGCCTCCGCCAGGAACGCTCTCGTACTCCACTATACCCCGGCCATTTAAATGCCACGGGTAAAGGCCGGCGTAGGGCCGTTGGCGCACGGCTGTGGTGCTTTGGGGCAGGGCGCTGGGCAAGCAGCAGCGGCCGGCGGCTGGGAGAGAAGGAGGGAGTATCAGCCAACCGAGAGGACCTTATCGGCTCCTGAGAGTCCGATGGGTCAATCGGCAGCCTCATCCGGGACCTTGTCGGCAGCTGGACTGTTGATAGATTCCTGTCGGCTGTCCAGGTCCCGCTAGGACGTCCGTCCACCCAGAAGGCCGACAGTTTATTAAAAAAATATTATTTAGAAAAAAATATGCGATAGGGTTCGAGGGACGGCGCGGCTGTGGTGTGGTGACTCTGATCCAGCTCGGGCCTTTGTGGGGAGGCGGCGCGGGGACCGGGGAGGACGGCGCAGCTGCGGGGAGGGCGACGCGGCTGCAGGGAGGCGGCGTGGGGAGGGCGGCGCAGCTGCATCGCCGGGGCAGCAACGTGCTCTAGCCCGAGCGGTGCTTCTGACGACGTGACTCTCCAGCTGGGCCTCAGGTTGAGATGCCGACGATGGCAGGCGGCGCGTGGAGGACGGCGCGGCTGCGGGGAGGCGGCACGAAGAAGATGGCGCAACTACGGTGGCTGTCAGCAACGGCCCTGACGCTGCTTCCACTGACCGCGTCGACCCTGCTGGAGGCAGCGACCGCGGCAGCGCTCTGTCTTCTCCAAGGCCCGAGAGGCGAGTTCGGCCCAATCTCAAGGTGTTCGGGCCCACGTGGCAGCCGTAGTCTACTATAAGTCTGGAGATAGAGCGAGAGAGAGAGAGGGACACGAATGCTGTAAACCTTAACTCAATTCTGTTATTAAGCACTCATCGTTACTGTATACCTTCTTCTTCTCAACCAAGCATTAGTTTCCTAGTTCCTGCTTACAGTGGCGCGGGGAGATTGCTGGGTTCGTCGAGATTCTGAAGCGTCGGCTTCGTCAGGTACGCCGTATCCTCAAGTGCTCCTCCACGAAGACCTCTGCCTAACACAGAATCGAGCATGACGATGGTGTCTGTATCGACATGGATTACACCCAACATGTGTTCGATTAAATGCGCTCAAGGTAACAAGAATTTCTGACATCCTCCATCGATCTACCTTCACCCGCGCGACCTCATTGAGATCCAGATCCCTATATTCTCTACAGGTGCTTGTCGTCCAAGGTTACCTCTCTAGCACTCATGATGATCTCCTTCCTTGTCGGTGTGCCTTCGGCCTAAGTGATTGACGCTACACGCTGAGGATACGACATATATGACATGAAATTTCTAATTGGCATGCCGCGGCATAGGTGATTGACGCTGGCACCTACCATGCAGTATTATTGCTACAAAATGTTTTGCTGCCTATTACTACTTTTTTTTCTGGATGTTTCACTCAGTAGAGTAATGCCAAGCTTGATTGCTATCAGTCTAGCTGTAAAGCTTAACAAGGTTTCCTGAATATAAGATCTGGTGAATATCCACCTGCTTGCCAGTAACTACGGTTATTCAGTTAGTATGTATCAGCAGCTCACCCTCCTGTTGTTTATGATCTTTACCATATGAACTTGGCAACGACTACTGTAGTCATAACCCTGTACTTAACTTTTAGTTGCTTGGTTAATTTTGGGGACTGCTACTTTTCTGATATCAACTGTTGAAGTGAAGTTCAGTTACCCATTGTTATTTAGTGGTAGTTTTGTGGTAATCCGACAGTTGATAATATTCATTTGACTGGGCTTCTTGACTAATATAATTGTAATTTTCATGGATATAACCAAATGATATATTTGCACAGGCGAGGGTAAGGCTTGCCACTGACACGCTTCCCCAGACCCCGCACAGAGTGGGAGCTCTCTGCACTGGGTACGCCCTTTTTTTTTATAACCAAATGATATATATAGTCACAATATTAATAACCAAACTCTATTGACCGTTATATGATTTGTGCATATGGATTCTTCTGTTCAATGTTATAGATATCTGATAAATCTTCAATATTTATCTTTATTATAGTTTGGAGCTGTAATTTTTGACATGCACTATGCATTGAAACTCACTTAGTTCACCATTTGCAGCGTGTAACTGGCAGCGACACATAAGCGTTATAGTCAGATGAGATATCCCAGCCTAAGGTTATTTGGTCCCTTCTCCATTTTTTTTGCAGAAACAAGAGGGGTCAAGGACCCCAGGTCACTGTAAGCAAGATATAATGTCTACCTTTTCTCTAGGTCAGAGCTCTTTCATCATTGGGAATGTCTATGATCATTCCGTTATGTCTCTAATCGAGCTTCTTTATCCTGAATCCAGCAAGCAAGCATTCAACACACACAAAGGCACTAAATACTGGTTCACAATATGCCAGAAAAAAAAACATTGTTATTACTAATTTTATCTATTGGCCTGCTTGTAGTACGGTAATTCACAAGTTTCACTACCAAAGATTTAAATTGGGCACCAACTAAAAGTTAGAAGTTGGTATATAATATGGTAGAGAAGGAGGATTATTTATGACTGGTCCTACCCAAATTATTTGTCTTTGAAAAAGTTGCATGTCGACACAATAAAAAAGAAGAATGCCACTCGCAAATATAATCAATAGAAGCAGATTCAATGAGATATTTTGACACACCCATCTATTTTAGTGTTAGGCTCTGTTTTTATAACTGGTTAATGCATTGAACTGGCTTTCTTTTTCTCACAGATACTCTTGGAGATCATGAATTTGGTTAAGATGTTGGACTCTTTTACCATTAAAGTTCTAAGGTTCCTGTCTGCAGGAAAGTGGAAAACTCTGAGCATACATTTTCATTTGCCAGGTGAATTGCGAGTTTTGTGCTTTGAGGAGATCATTTCTTATGGGTTCTGACTTCTCTCATCCAACTCTCTATAGACTGGATATCATTGAGTTATCAGGTTGAACTATGAAATTCCAGCTCTGGTTCTGCTACCGTGTCCAGGACTTCATCACCGAGGAAGGAACAGGGTTAGTTCAATGCGTGCCAACACATCCCTGAATATTTACCTTCCTATTTAATTTTAGTGCTGCAATGCTTTGCTTCCTCTGAAAGGAGTAAAAATGTTTTTGCCTTGCAGCTTATATGGTGTATAGGGTTAGTTCAATGCTTTGCCAACACATCTCCAGTTTATATGGTGTATCGGCATATGTCCTTTCTGCCTTGCAGCTTACAAGGTGTTTTTGTGAGAGCCATTAGAGTTGAATAATACAATTTCTTTGTTGATATCAGCTAAAGCTGGGATTTATCATTTCTGGAAAAACAAGTTTGGTGCACCCATTCCAGCCTGCAATGGAATGGTTGTTTATGAAATCTGTCATGTTGTTTGTTACGTTGCTTTCCTTTTATTAGAGCCCACTAATCAGCCATAATAGTAATTTATTTACTATGAAATTTTACTGTTGCTGACAAGTTTATATGTCCATACGGATTCTCCAATGCTTTGAAAATTTTTAGGTCTGAATATGCTTCCTTCAGTATTTTCTCAACTTGCTTTCCCCCGTGCTTTCCTTTTCCAACCATTTCCTTCTCTGCAGTTTATATTGCCAGGGGAAAACCATTCTCAGACAGGGGGAAGAAGGTAGAGGTTGCTGACCTTTGGATTTGGTAATGGCAAGAAGCTTGTTGGTGGTGGTGTCGCCATTCTCTTTCTGGTACTAGTAGTTATATAGTATAAGACTATGAGTTATAGGTACTTGTCTTTTGTAATTTGAGCATGTTATTGTCAAGAGCTTGAAAGGCTTGTCTGCTGGACTTGAGAAACAGCACCTAGAAGAATTTTATGGCTGCACAAGAGTAGTTCAGAACTTAAGTCTGTACGAAAGATTGGAGATGTTTTGTTCTCTTGACTGAATATTTGAATCATTGCAGTGAAGCCGTAGTGGTCTTCCTCTGCTGAATCCATAATTGTTTAGTTTTCTGTATGAAAGCTTATGTCTGTACGAAAGATTTTAAAGTTTGATGCATCCAATGTTAATGTGTGCTCTCATTGTTAATGTGCTAATTTGATATTGGTCGAAAGGGTTGCATGGATACCTTGGTTTTGGAGGCATTTCTAATAACGCCTCCATCAATGTTTGAAGGCAAATTATGAAGTGCCTCTAAAAAGTATTCTAGGCATCCAGAAAATGCCTTTAAATGTTGATATTAAAAGGCATTCTGAAAAAACGTCTTAAAAGATCTTTTACTTCCATGTTTTAGCCGGGGTTTTCATAAATGTCTCCAAGGGTCTTTGATGGCGTTTTGATCATTTTTTGAGGCATTTGTAAACGTCTTGTATAAGGAGTCATGTTGTAGTGCCTTAGCCAGAGAGACATCAGAATATATATAATGACTCAGACAACTTTACTTAGCTAGCTAGCTACATTGTTAGGCAGCTACAGTCAAGAGGAAGCATTTGACTAATGCGTAACAAATGGTATTCTAACCGGTTCTGCCTGAAAGCGGATGGACTACGAGTTTCAGAAAGAACAAGATCGAGCGTTGAAATTCGTTAGGGGTGTCATGTGTGTGTGGCCGGCCGAACCCACGATGATGGTTAATTGCTAGGGCAAGCTAGGGTGTGTGTGGACCGAACATTATTAGGCCATATCCAACCGTCTTCAGTAGTACACGTTCAGGCAACAATTGTACCAGCACTGCAATTACTTGCAAAGATTGTTTTCAATGTTTAATAATGTTTCTTCCTTTTTCTTCCTGATGATAAATATATAGTACAGTAGTACCGAGCTAGTCTGCATTCATGCCACTTTTCCCGGGTTAATTACAACAATCGTCCTGTTCGCTTTGGTTTGTTTGGCTGATAAGCTATGACTGAAAGTAATATTGGCTGATTTGGTGTGAGAAAAAAATACTATTCGTTAACTGAAAAAGTACGGCTTATAAGCGAAACAAGCCTAAACGAACACGGGAATGACGACAAGCTTTTCGGTCTTGACACTGTATACCATCATGGAAAAAAAAACACCTAAGGCCTTGTTTAGATGCCATCCAAATTCCAAGTTTTTTCGGTCTTGACACAATTTTTATACCATGGAGTATTAAATGGAAAAAATAATTAACAGGATTTAGTTGGAAATACTGAATCTGCTCGATCCTCACTGATCCAACATTACGGGTTGAAAATTGCAACAGTATACTAATACTACTGCTCGATCCTCACTGATCCAACATTACATTCCAACAGTATTAAAAATATCAGTGACCAGTGAGCTAATGCTACCTGGACAAATGAAATGATGAAGATGAGCTTTCAGTTGGGAGGCAAGGCAGGCAGCAAAATGCCGTTAGCATTCATACTGAGCTGATCCATTCCCAGAACACATCTCTGCAGGTCCAGGTGGGCCGACAGGGAACCAGTAGTCCCCTCCTGGCCCATCACGTGCACACATTCACATTCACCTCTCCTTTTTTTTTAATCGAGACAACCTCGGAATTGCTAGCATTTCCGCGACGGAATTGCCGCGGGGAGGCTTGGTGATGCCGTATCGTATTTATTAATTCTCACCCAAGACGGGGATCATTCTAGAAATGTCTCCACTCATTCTAGAAATGTCTTTGTCCATGCAAGGTTGATGGTCCAAGCCCAAAAGCAAAATTCCAAAATCAAAGAAATATAATAAAATACTGGAGTAACTCCCAAAAGATTTTTTGCTTTTTAAAAAAATCGTCGAAGACATTTGCACAAATTTCCAAATCTCCCTATATAAGAGGACACAGCTAGCTGGGTGATTACAAAAGCCATTCCATCATTCATTCAAGTGAAGCAGCCAGCACTCTCCACCGTGACTCCGTGAGCTTGCTTGCCCCGCTGCACTGCACACTCCCCGCACAGCCGCACCAGCTCAGCAATCATGGCTCGCCTAGGCCTACTCCTCCTCGCTGCCGCCGCAGCGGCGTTCCTGGCCGTCGCGGCCGCGTCGCCGGTGGCCAGCGACTTCATCCGCAGGTCGTGCCGCGCGACGCAGTACCCGTCGGTGTGCGAGCAGAGCCTGGCGTCGTACGGGGGCTCCCCGCCTCCGCGGAGCCCGCGGGAGCTGGCGCGCGCCGCGCTGTCGGTGAGCGCGGACCGCGCGCGCGCCGCGTCCGCGTATGTGGGCCGCCTGTGCGGTGGATCCGGCGCCGGCGCGAAGGGCGCGAAGAAGGGGTCTGGGTCGCGGCCGGCGGCGGCGGCGGGCCCCGTGCGCGACTGCCTGGAGAACCTGGCGGACAGCGTGGGCCACCTCCGAGACGCGGCGCAGGAGATGGGCGGCGCCGGGATGTCCCGCTCCGGGACGCCCGCGTTCAAGTGGCACCTCAGCAACGTGCAGACCTGGTGCAGCGCCGCGCTCACCGACGAGAACACCTGCCTCGACGGCCTCTCCTCCCGCGGCGTCGACGCCGCCACGCGCGCCGCCATCCGAGGCAAGGTCGTCGAGGTCGCGCAGGTCACCAGCAACGCGCTCGCACTCGTCAACAAGGTCGGGCCTGGGTACTAGCCCAAGACCCAGGCCCAGGCTCAGCCCAGATACCACCCGCTATTGGCCCTGTTAGCGGGTCTCATGAGGCGTACTATTTCAGCGAATAAATAATGTTTTTCTTTCATAATAAACCGGTGAAAAATACATTCAGCTATGACTTTTCAGCGAAGCGCCACCGGCTCCACGACGTTGGATGTCGTGAGTCAGTTAACTAGTTCAGTTTTCCATGTTTTTTCTCTACTGCAACTTCCTGCATATATATATGCTTTGCTTGTGCCTTGCTTGTGTCGTGTACTTGTGTAAAGATATAGTTAAGGTCGATAAGCTTGTATTATGGGTGACGAGAAGTACACTAAGACGTATGTACTCCTCTGTCCGATCCTGTCACAGCAAATAAGCTAAGTGTCATCATTAACACTGATATGGTCTAGACAATATAAATTCGTTTGTCCATTGTGGGGGTGAAACTTACTTGTTCACTGAACAATGTTTTTGCTAATGCTTGATGCCTGCCTTAGATGGATTATATTGTTTGTATAGGATCCTTTTCACACGGATATTATTAAGATAGATGGAAGGTGCACTCACGTGAAGGGCGAGCGTGCAATCCCGTCCGCGCCACGGCCACGGCGAAACCCTCCCGCGCCTGCAGCGGTCTCCTCCTCCCCCCTCTCCCGGCGCCATGGTCATTCTTCGCCCCTGGCCCGGCCGCCTCGGCTGCTGGCCTGCCTGCCTCCCCAAAACTTTTTTCTAATGCCACCGGAGATGGGGAAGAAGAAAGGGAGAGTGTGGGAGCAGGCGTCGCGATGGAGCGCGGCGAGTTGCTGGATAGAGTTTGCAAAGGTGACAATATTTAGTTTTATTATATTAGGTAAGGATAAAGGAAGACAAAGGACTCTAGCCTTTTTATATATACAAAAGCAAAATGTCACCATAAGAATAAGTGGAGAATTAATAGTTCCCTTTTTTTGTTACACATTTCCTATACTACAGGTGCTGCCGAAAGTGAAGATGAACTAACAAAAAAAAAGAGAAGGTATTCGATCTTAAGAATGAGGATGACTACTGATCATTGATATAGATTAGGCGGACGATGTTCATCGCCTGAGAAGAAAGTAAAAATCAGGCGTCTGTGATTTAGCAACTCTCTGTTTGTTACGGTGACAAAGAACCCTTCCTTTCCAATTTCTTCTGGTAAAGATTTATTCGTCACTAAGATGACGCATCTCTTTGTGTTGAAAATTCAAGTTTGGAAGAAATCGAACCACCTTGGTGATTGAGTGCATGACTACATTGCCGATTGTGTGCTTGACCAAATCTCATCAGCTCCCACCCAACCAAGGCAGTAGAATTTGCACCGTGGAATTCAAAATCCAAACGAAATTTCAAAATCTTACTACTATTAGCCCCCCTATAGGAAAAGAAAATTGAGCTTTCCGACTCTGGCTAGGAGCCGAGAAGATGGCACTTGTTCATTTGTGAATTCAAGCTCGTGTTGCCCTAGCCGACCGGAAGGAAGGCAAGCGATAGTGATGGCTGAACAACGTTGGCAAGCTAAGCTACAGTGCGAGAGGCGTGCAGCTCATTTAAACGTGATCGTCGCGGCGCCGTCCACCATTCCACGAGTGCAAAGCAAAGGCACGTTCGTTAGTTATGGCCTACCACGAGTGTCTTGTTCTGCAGCCGATGCGTGCGATTGCATCTCGTTTTTAAAAAGCAGAGGCGCAGGCAGCGTTTGGGCAGGCAGAGGCGTCGTGCACTTATTGAAGGACCCCAGTTGCCAACAGAATTTGTGGTGACCTGTCAGTCTTACGTGGCCACATGGCCTTGGACCCGCACGGGGCATGCATGCAAGGGCGGTGTCAGACTGTCAGTCAAATAGTGGACTGTCATCGAATATTTGGCATATGCATGGATATTAAATATAGATTAATTATGAAACTAATTGTATAGTTTGCAACTAATTTGCGTGACGAATCTTTTAAGCCTAATTAGTCCATGATTTGACAATATGGTGATACAGTAAACATGCGCTAATGACGGATTAATTTGGCTTAAAAAATTCGTCTCGTAGAGTACTGATGGATTATATAATTTATTTATTTTATTAGTATCCGAACACCCCATGCAACATCCTCCCGACACACCTCCTAAATTTTAGTCACTGGATCCAAACACCGCCGAAGTCCTTGTTTAGTTCATTCCCCCCTAAAATTTACTCACTACACATGCATAGAGTGTTAAATATAGACTAAAAATAATTAATTACACAGTTTACGACTAATTTACGAGACAAATCTTTTAAGCCTAATTAGTTCATGATTTGACAATGTGGTGCTATAATACGCATATGCTAATGATGGATTAATTAGGCTTAATAAATTCGTCTCGCAGATTACTGATAGATTCTATAATTTGTTTTTTTATTAGTATCCGAACACCCTATGTGACACCCGATGTGATACCCAAAAATTTTACACCTGGATTTAAAGGGCCCTACTTACTTGACCAGTCCACTCGAAGGTTTAGTCTGGTCAGCTTTAAAATTCATGCTTGAGAAATTGGACGGTCAGAAATCTCTCTTCGCCCTGGTGATTCTTCTTCCCTGGATCCTAGATACCCTGCCTCCGCTGTGCTTCGCACTCTCGCACGACTTCCACCGCGGGTTGGGTTGTGTACGTGTCCAAGAGACAAATCCTAGATGGTGTGAATTTGTTAAATCATGGACGGAGTACTCTAAGATGCAAATCAATGGCACATAGACCATGTTCCTGGACCAATTTTGTTCGGTGGCCATGATGTAATTGGTTATATTGGGAAAAAAGGGACGAACTCAAAAGAACTTTAACATAGGGGCCGTTAGGTAGCGCTCCCGGACCGGCTCCGGGAGCTGTTCTACGACTCCTGCTGCTAAACGGGTGTGAGGACATCAACTCCATAGGAGAAGTCCCGGAAATTGCGCTGAGGCAGAGCGAAGATGGGAGATGGAGCCGAAAAATCGAGCTTCCCTCGGCTCCCTGTCTAGATGCGTGGGCCCTAGGCGAGTTTGCCCTCGGCGTGAGCACGAGCACGCGGACACGGCCGTCCAGAGGCGTGTGAAGGCAGGGGTGGGTAGGGAGTGCTGGGGAGACGGAGGCGGCGCGGGGAGGCCGGGGCCGCCGAGGGACGCCGCTCAGGAGCCGTTGGGGTCGCCGCTGGGGCCATCGGGGTCGCCGAGGCTGCTGGGGTGGGCCGCGTGGGGTCGTCGAGAGACGCCGCTCGAAAGCTGCTGGTCGCGGGGCTGCCAGGCACGAGCCACCGAGGTCGTTGTGTCCGCCGGGCGTGGGGGCAGACTGGCATAGGATGTCGAGCCGTGGCGCACTTCCTGGCGGTGGCGATGGAGATTGGGAAGGAGAGTGCGGCCGCGTGATGAGGAGATAAGGTTGAAGGAGATGCGGTCATGCAGATGCGGTGGGACTACGTATGGCTATGACGGTGTGGGGGACCAGATAACGTTGGAAAAGAAAAGAAAAAGAAAAAAACAAAGAAAAGAGGGGTATTATGGACATTTCGTTATTTTAGACTAGCAGGCGAAACTGTTTTGCCAAACGGTCTAAAAAACCGATTCAGCTCCACAACTGAATCTGCTCCACAAGTGAAGCCATAACTGAAGTTGTTTTGGTTGAAACCGGAGCTCTACCAAACAGGCCCATAGTGTTTGCTACTCAACGAGAGAAGTGAAAGACAGAGAGCCTTACCTTAGATTTGATCATGAAACACCCAAGTCGACCAATGCATCAAGTGAAGCCGGCCCATACTTTTCGACCCATAACCCAACCCAACATATTATATATATTAATATATATAAAAAAGAAATAACCTAACCTGATGTGTTGGTTCGGTGGGTGTGGGCCAAAAGTTCAACCCGACATTTCTCCCCGCCGGCCTAACTTGAATCCGCTACGACTCGACATTTGATCAAGTCTAAGTCCTAGCTTGCCTCTTATATTTGTGTAATTTAATTTGTACGATGACCCCTGTGTTGTGCATATGACCTTGAGATGAGATGGTGGTGACATTTCTTCTCCCATATTGTCAACAACTGCATATGCCACTACCTTTCACTACGTCATGTTCGCTTGTTGGTTTCAGCCAGGGCTTATCAGCCAGCCAACAATGTTTTTATCTCACAACAAACCAGCACCAGCCGGGCTTATCAGCCCAGAAACCAACCAGCGAACAGGCTATAAGAAAGAGCGGAACCTGGTGGCGCACCAGCTAGCGCAAATGGCTAAGCGTCTGCATCATAGTGTTGTGAGGCACTATCGTGTTCCTTTCTGTGTTGAGTCTTTGATTGCTCATGACCGTAAGACAATGAGTTCCATTTAATATAGCTTTTTCTTGATTCGCAAAAAAGGGGACGGGACAGAAACCTCACCTAAGGCCTTGTTTGGATGCATGTGTATTCACTTTAATCCACATGTGCTGGAGTGAAATACAATGGAATTTATTTCAATTACATTTCAATCTACTTCAACACATGTGGATTTAGATGAATACATGCACATCCAAACAAAGCCTAATAAATATTAAGCAAAAAGATATCAAAATAGTTAATAGATGACAACCCCAGCATACCATGGTGAGATCACAATAGAGGGCAAGAAAAAAACTAAAAACTAAAAAAACTTGTTCCGCCACTCACAAAACTGTTCACGTCCTAGAGTCTCACAACAATCGGTAGGAGCAAGATTTTTCGATTCTGCCGAACAGGCCCTAGAGTTACAACGAACCGAAGGGGTTTTGATTAAAAATTTAAAATAACAACCAAAGCCTATGTAAAAATCAAAGCCCCAATCACCTTGATGCTTAAATTCTTCTACAAAAGCAATTTAAGAAGTCCGTAGATCTATCACACCTAATCAAGTTATTAGCAAAATTCACACTAAGGTGTAGGTCCTGAAGAGCAAGAAGTAAATCTATGGTAAACACTACCACCACACAATCCTAGTTATCACTCAAGAGAACTTGCACAGAAA